GGGCACCGGGTATGCCAGGTAGGCAGCCGCTTTCTGCTGTCGTAGGCCTGCAGCCCCCGGGAGACCCGGAGCTCGGCCGAAACCGCTCGGGATCCGTCCTGAACCGAGTGCGCACCGGGGGACCAGGGCCGTTTGAGGTTCTGTGGTGCTGCTCTGGGCTCTGCCGGCTGACGGGCTGGGCATGGGTGAGAGCGCTCGGCAAGTCCGGTGCTGGTGGTGTCGCGTTCCTGCGAGGCCCGCACAGGGATGCGTCCCGTCTGTCAAAGTAATCCAGTCGGATTCCGTCACCAGCATCTTCACTGAAATGCAGGACGATGCGAGGCTGTTGCCTGACGTAAGAATAGCTCTTGTACAAGGCAATGAGTCCTCTAGGAGGAGCGAAGAGCGAAAGACCCTAGAGTAGGCTGTGAAGGTAACTGCCTGGGTGTGGAAAGGGGCCTTGGACTCACACCGTGAGCTTATGTAGTTTTCACAAAGCACAGATCAAACCGTTGAGTCCTGCCGGTTTTGTTTTGTATGTGGTTGAATCCTCCCATTCTTCCCAAATTTATTTTGACCTTAAAATGCTACTGTAGTATTCTGGGTAATCAAAACTGTCCCTGCTTGAAGTTGAAAACGGATATTCCACCACCCCCCGCCATGTAACTCTCTGCATCTGTTTCCCGCCTTAGGACAGCAGTGATGACATTGAAGATGTGTCTCTCTTTGATGCAGATGATGATGTATCCAGGAGATCAAAAAAGTCAAAAATAAGGTCAGTGGCCATAGAGAGAGTTTTTAGATGAGTTCTAGGCAGAAGCACGAGGAAGAAAGGACTGCCATGTTATATCAAAATATGTAATGGCAAATACCTTATTTATATGGAGGTAGTGGAGAGTAATTTCTGGATAACAGAGTGTACCAGTTCCAGAAGCTTAGCTGGAATTTGTAGATCTGTGCCTTCATGCTTCCGAGTGCTCTCACATTTAATATGTGTTTGTGTTCCTCTGTGTCAGGGATGTACAGTGATACGACGACTGTGTGTAACGGGAGGTTCTCACCGTGTTGAGTGCTGGTTCTGGGCTACTCCCAGAACTCTTCCCCAGTCTCCGTTCTGGAGTACGTTTGGTGCTGCCCTACTGTCTGCCATGTCCTGGCGTCTCCTGCCTTGCCCTGCCCAAACTCCTGCCACAGAGCAGTGCCCAGACCCACACGCTGTGGTGACCCTGGCTCTATACTGCACTTTTCTGACCTGGAAACTGCAGAAATGGGAAAGAAGGGCAAGTCTCCTGTGTTGAGAAATGCGATCTTTCCTTCAGAGCTATTTCCTCTGTCAGAACCTTTTTAAACTTACCCCATAAAAATTGACTTGCAGTGAACACTACGTAAAACTCTCTGTCCCCTTCCACCCCAAATTCTGTCTGCATGTGGGATATCGCTGCATGGTGAGTGTGTCTTTCTTACAATGAACTACTAGTCAAGTTTATTTCCCATATTTTCAGCAGTTGTTGCACACTTGAGTTCATGTTACGGTGTTGATCCTTATCCTACGAGTTGGCAGGAGATTGCCTTGGCAATGGCATTTCTCGGAAATCGCTTCAGTCTTGTCTGAAAGAGCTGTGACTGTACTGTACTTCATTCCAGGCATCCAGTGGCATCATTTTTCCACTTATTCTTCCGAGTCAGTGCGATAGTTGTCTATCTGCTCTGTGAGCTCTTAACTAGCAGCTTTATTGCCTGCATGGTGACAATTATCCTCCTCTTGTCGTGTGACTTTTGGGCTGTAAAGGTAAGTTCCTCTTGTTGTTTTGTCTTACTACATAAGAATAATGGAAGAAAGTGATATTCATGTCACAAAAAAAAAAAAAAGTAACTTTGTGCCTTTCCAACAACATGATACCCAAGATGCTGTGATGTATTGCAAAGTGTTAACAAAATAATAACTCTTAAATCTCTGTGTACCTGACTTCTTTTTGAAAATGAAATTAAGAACATGTGTTAGACTTTTTTTTTAAGGTAGCACAGGCTTCATTATTAGATCGCTTTCGAATCACCAGAAATACGCCTCACTTTATATTGTTACAGTAATTTGTTGTTGTACTAGACATATCAGAAGATAGATTGTTGTGGACGTAAGAGCCATGTAATCTTGTTTTCTCAGATGTCAGGCAAATGAGCACCATTGAAAATAGCAACCCAAACAGCTGAACTTTGGCAAACGGTTTCTTTTAGCAGAAGATATAAAGCTCATTGTTTTTCTCTATTTCAGAATGTCACAGGGCGACTGATGGTTGGCCTTCGCTGGTGGAACCAGGTGGATGATGATGGTAGGAGTCACTGGGTATTTGAAGCCAGGAAGGTAAATTTCTTTTCTTTTTTTTTTTTTTCTTGTTTCTGTTTTATGAAACTTCTATGAATTGGTGGTTATGCTTGTGGTGACAGATTGCACAATGTAGACATTTACTTCGAGCCACAGATCTGTAACCATGGGCTTGTTTCATGTAGGCTGCTGAAACGAGCTTTTTGATTGTTGAATTCTTTAAAAATTCTCATGATGTATTGGTCTGGCTTAATGCAAATAACATGAAAGTTCCACATAAAATGCAGTAAAGGTTGTCAGGTCAGTAACCTACAAGTTTTCTGGTGTGCGCTCGGAACAGCTGATGTAGCTTTTATCTCCTGTAGAAAATTATTGGAAGTGGGAAAGAAACGTATAGCATTCGTCATGGCTGTTGCTTCACCTTTGTGTTCATCCTGGCTGCTGCTACCTCTCTAGTATCCCATCCGTCGGGCACCTCACCACATGTCACTATTTGCCCTTTTGATCCCTATCTCTTACCTCTATTTGTATGGAGCTAATGGCATGCAGATCTGGAGTGAGGTAAAGATCATTTTGCAGAATCACAGAATCATTAAGGTTGGAAGGACCTTCAAGATCATCAAGTCCAACCGTTAACCCAACACTACCATGTCCCCTAAACCATGTCCCAAAGCGCCACATCCACACAGTTTTTGAATACTTCCAGTGATGGTGACTCCACCACCTTCCTTGGGCAGCCTGTTCCAATGCTTGACCACTCTCTTGGTGAAGAAATTTTTCCTAATATCCAATCTAAACCTCCCCTGGTGCAACTTGAGGCCATTTCCTCTCGTCCTATCGCTAGTTACTTGAGAGAAGAAACCAACACCCACCTCACCACAACACTCTTTTAGGTAGTTGTAGAGAGCAATGAGGTCTCCCCTCAGCCTCCTCCAGACTGAACACCCCCAGTTCCCTCAGTGGCTCCTCATCAGACTTGTGCTCCAGACCCCTCACCAGCTTTGTTGCCCTTCTCTGGACACGCTCCAGCACCTCAACATCCTTCTTGTAGTGAGGGGCTCAACACTGAACACAGTATTCAGTATTTCCTAGATGATGTGGGAGGTCTGCAGTGGTGTAGGGATTTGAATCTAAACTTTTCTCCTGCCGAGTTTGTGCACTCACTACAGGCACATTCTTTCTCAAAACTGGGCTGGTTTAGAAAAGCTAGAACATACAGGGAAGAGGGGGAGAGGGAGCTGAACTGCTGGTGATGCTGTAAATTTACCTGTAAGTTGTTATTCAGTCCAGATTTTTTAACTATTCTAGGAAGAATTGAGTGCTTGCTTGGGATCTTCTGCTCTTTAAAGACTTTATAAAATCAATAGCGTGGTGTGAATCAGACCTCTGTGTGTGTGAAGAACATTTACCCTACTTTCATGCCTGAGAGTATCAATATTTAGTTCTGCCAGTGCTAGGGTTGGTGAAATTCTGGTTGCCTGTGCAGTGATTTGGAGGTAGAAAACATTACCGGTTTGTCTGTTTCTAAGCTTTGTAATTGAACCCCGCAGTAAATGTCACGTTTCCCAAACTTAACCTTTTACCCCCAAGCATTCCAAGAGGATTTGGTGCTGCTGCCTCCTGTTTCTGATAGAAAATTGACAAAAGGGTCCATTAACTGCAAACATTTTCTGTTGCAGAAAGATCTTTATGTGATGTGGAAATCGATCTTGAAAGCACCCAGTACTGTTGTGGAGGCAAAAAACAGGGGGTTTGTAGATTCTAGACTGTTTTTAATGACAATGTGATCTATACAATGGAGCAGCCTGTTAATCTCAGTTTCCTTTCTCTTTCTAGGTATCGGCGCAAGGGAGTAAAACCTCATCAGAAGCAGAGTCCCGAATTTTCTGGTTAGGTCTCATTACATGTCCTATGATCTGGGTGATATTTGCTTTCAGTGCTCTCTTTTCTTTCAAAGTGAAGTGGCTGGTGAGTGGACTCCCTCAACTCAATAATAAATCTTGCACTTTACAACTAAATTTACAATATAAATCAGTGACTTATTTTCCTGTGTCTTAGGCAGTGGTTGTGATGGGAGTGGTTCTTCAGGGAGCCAACCTTTATGGTTATATCAGGTGTAAAGTTGGCAGTAGAAAGAACTTGACAAGCATGGCGACCAACTATCTTGGGAAGCAGTTCTTGCGGCAGGTAAGAATTCCAGGGTTTTGAAAATCCTCCAGCTGATGTTTGTTTCCATCTGTCAGCTTCTTTCCTGCCTGGGCCATGAAAAGAAAGACTGAAAAAGCTGTTATTTTTAGTTCTGCAGAGGGAACCTTCAACACCTTGCTGCCTTGTGAATTTGAGCCCCTTTAATAAAGTCACTGAGTAACTTGCTGATTATTGGTATCAAGTTCCGTTTGCAGCACATCATGAGCTCATATTATTTGCTGGTGCCGTGGTTAGGTGCCATAGAAGTTACTGGAATATGGCTGGTATATTGGAAATAAGGAACACAGTGAATGTGGTGACAGAGTGAAATGTGTTTTTGTAAACTGCTCTTGGATAATGGATTGCTAAATTACTCCTTTCATTGCACTGCTTCCTAGCAGGTTGTGCTAGCCACAAAACCATGCATCTGGAGGCATGTGGCATTGGTCCTTGTGCTTCAACGCACGGCTGCAGTGTGCATAGCTCCTAGCCAAATGGGCTGCCGCTACCTTTTATGTTCTTTCTCATTTCCAACCAGCTCTTCTCAAGAGGTCCTTTTTTGCCCCAGCGCTGGGTTTTCTTCCTTCCGTAGGTCCCTGTAGGCACAACCATTCCCTGTTCCACTTCTAGGCTGTCATTTAACTTCCGCTTTTACGGGTTTTCCTGACTGTGGCTGGCTGTATTACGCAGATGACTCTGGGGACGGCTGGTTTGGCTGCCACAGGTTCACAAATGTTTGCTGGAATTACTGTGACAATTAGTGTGATCAGAAGCTCAAACACTGGTAAAACTTTCTCACCAGTCTGTGCTGGGGTTGTGTTCTTCTGTAGCTAGATTTGCTTCTGGATGCTTTTACCACTGCAGTGGTTAACCAGAAGCCCAGAACAGGCTTGATCTCTGGCACAAATTAACGTCTTGCCTCAGAATCATGGCAGTGAGTCACATAGTTCTCCTGTACTCCTCCTCTGTTTTTTTTTTTTTCTTTTTTGCCTTCTGCAGACTGTGGCTAAAGAGGACCAAACAGCATCCTGAGTCTGGTGGAAGCCTCAAGTAAGACCAGATTCACAGTAGCGGACAACAGAGAATGTTGCTGTGACCCTGAGATTTGGGAGCTGCATACGTGAGGTTTGAATTAAAAGAAGTAAATAAATTGTGCAAGACTTCAGGTTAACACTCCTAGCAACTTATATTCAATTTTCCACTAGCAGTTTGTGTTTCAGTCTTTTTTTTTTGTTTGTTTGATTAATTAGAATTAATTTGCTTAAACTTTAAACTAAAAAATATCCTAGGTGGCTCTCATACAGGTTTAGAACTACTGGATGAATTCAGAGGAAATTGCTGGACATCCTTCTTCAGAAAAACCATGCACAAGCCGAGCCTTCTGTTACCCAAGAACTCCCCCAACTCTTCCAGCAGTTGGTGCCTCAGATAGTTTCGGTTGTGGACGTTGCTGCGTTTTGTTCTTGGAGGTCATTGCTGCTTCTGTTACGAAGTTTAGATAGTCCTCTTTCGGCTCCGCATCCCTCTCATTCTGTGACTTGAACGACGCTGAGGTGGTTGCAGTGAAGGACATCTAAAGGAAATGTTGCTATTGGCTTAGTGGGAAGGTTATTGAAGTCTCGTGGAAACTGCAGAAAGTGATTTCTGAGCAGCTGCGGTCTTTTATTTATCTGAAGCATTCTTGGAGGTCTCAGTAACATCTTAAACTCCTGGATTTATGGCAAGTCCCTCTTCTACCTATAGGCCTGCATCTGTATGGGGAGCGTAGCAAGAGTAAAACCAGCTTGTGAGGGAGGTTGCAGGCGCAATTTCAGAGCCAGAGTGAATCTGAGAGCAGTCGTCTGACTGATGCTGTTGAAGTGATGCCATCTGGTGTCGTGTCGGCGCCGCTCAGTAGTGTGCGATGGTGCCATGGGTCGTCTTTGGCCAGGAGGGTGTAGGGTGATGTGACCTGCAATCTCCTCACCAGCTCCTCGGCACAGGGTCTCAAGGAACGGGACCGACAGGGGTTTATGCTTCTTGAATCCACGCAGTGTGCTGTCCTTAAGCCATGCTCCGTGCGGAGTCTGTGGGCTGAAAAAAAGCCTTTTGTAGGATTGTGTGAAATGTTGGCTTGCAGTGTTCACTGAGATGGCAGAAAGTGGTGTGTTTTGTGTGAAAAGCTGTGTGAAAGGGGTCAGTTCCTTCTTGTCATGTAGTTCTGTTCAAGGCAGATTGTGCTTTTGCAGCGGCAGATGTCGTAAACTTCAAGTGAGGTGTTTTGAATTAAGAATGTGATTTCTTTTTAAATAATGGGTATTGTAAATTGTGGGATTTCGTTAACATGATTTCTCTCCCTGTACTGTAGCAATACTTGGGAGCTGTACATTTGTTTAAGTCTTTGGATTGATACCTTCCTTTTGTAAATATGTATTTATACAATCTTGAAATTAAAATAATGCTTTGTTTAACCAGACCAGATAGCCCTGCTATGATTCACGGCTGAGCTTTATTTATGCTCTGTGTTTTAACGAGGGTTGCTTGTCCATTTAAACGGTGCTGTTTAGCAAGCTCTGGCACAGAGCCCCCTTTCACGCAGGGGTCTCGGACAGTTTTCCCTGAGCAAACACTTTCTTCATAAGCGTGCTGGAGTCGTTGTCATGCAGAGCTGAATTAATTGTCACTCTATAAGGCTCGGCTGGAGTGGCTACGAGGCTCCTTCTGAGGGCACTCAGAGGGCCCCCCTGCCCAGGTCCCTGGCTCGCTCCTGGCAGGTGGCAGCGTAAATGCTTGTGCCATAATGTAGCGGGAACTTTTAGTCTCCATTTGTATGGAAAGGATGATTTATTTCTGAGGAATGAATGTCAACAGGCAAAATGAAGTCCATCACTGAAGTAAAGGCGCTTCTGCAGCCACGCGGGGACGTGCAAGTGCAGCGTCTGGCCCGTACGGTGCGATGGAACGGAAGTCCTTTCTGCTCCAATCCAACAAGCCCCCAGTTTGCCACTGCTGTCGGAGGGGTGGCACTGACTCCGGCACAGCTCCAGCCTTGAGATAGTTGTTTTAAAATGTGTTGAAAGTTTTGGACTTAATGTTTATTCTCCTGCTGCCAAAGCTCCCCCCAAACTGCTGTAAAATATAGAGTGCTTTTCTGGAAGTCGCAGTTTATTTAATCAAGGACAGAGGCATTTATTAGTACATGCCTTTAAATATAGCCCTCTCTGGCTTATTTTTAGCCTCTTGGCAAACCTTCAGTCTTTTGGCTTCTGAGAAGCTGGCATTTTATTGCGTTTCTCCACGGCATCGACCAGAACGAAATTTCTTATCGCTGTTCCAGTTGGGTGTGAGGCTTGTTTGATTTTTACTCGCTGTCTACTGGGGTTTCCTGTGAAGCGGGAAGTGGGAGTTGCTGCAGAATGGGGAAATTCTCTGAATGTGCTGTTTTTTGACGAGCCTCGGGAATCCACACTAAGCCAGTTTCTTGAGCATGAGCTGTTTAATGGTGGCCCCACCTAAGACCTCCAGGCCTGGGTGGTGGCTGAACTTCCAGGGTTTACAGAAGCAGAAATACTCCAAGAGCAATAATAATAAAATACTATTTGTTCTGAAATAGCAAAGTACGCCTCGGATGTTGCAAACACAGCTGAGAGGTGGGCTTCAAATCATCCTCATTTTACAGGCAGAGCCATTTTGAGTCCTTGGAGCATAGTGTCTTGGGCCAGCGGGGAGCTTGCTCACAGAGCTGGGGACAGCATGCTGTCTGCTTTGGGGTGCAGGAGGCCTCATCCTTCCCCTGTGTCCTAGGGATGAGCTGCTCCGTTGCTCTTCGGCCACAGCGGGGACCTGCCTGCTGCCACAGACCAGCCTTGGTTTGTCCTCGCCCACCCTGGCATTGCGCTGTGCAGCCAGCCGGGTGCAGGAGTCCTCAGGGAAGGCGCCTGATTTCAGGGGCAGAAGTAATGCTTTTTCTGACCCCGTGCTTTAAAGCTACATCCAGATATTCTCAAAACACAAAAGCTTTAGAGACAGTTTTACCCCATCTAGTACATCTTTACTTCCCTCTGTGCTGCAGGGAAGGGTGAAGGAGGGATGCTGAGTGTGCCCAGGCAGCCTGTCTCCTGGCACTTGGAGCCTGTCCATCTTTTCCTCCACGAATTTCTTGGAGACTTGCCGGGCCCGGAGGGCTGCAGGGAAAGGTCTATTGTAGTTGCTTGGCAGAGGCCACAGTCAGCCTTGCTCACACAGGACAGGACATCCCAGCTGGTATTTTCTGAACAAAAAGCTGCAGTGACTAATGGAGAGTGACCTTTGGGGAGACCAAAGGGAACAGGGATGCGGGTGAGGAGGGTGGATGTTGGCCAGGACCCAGCGCTGCTTCCAGAGCTCCTGGCAGGAAGGAATTTCTCGCTTCCCTCCTGCCTTTCCATGCATACAGCCCCAGTTTGGGAGCGGGCATCCCTTCCCACCCTGCAAACCCACGGCAAGCCGAGAGCCTCCCCACCACCCTGATAAGACAGGCGAAGGCTAGAGAGAAAGGAAACGCTATTGCTGTTTTACTGATAGCAGCATTTTTGTACCACAGAGGACACGTGGGCTCGTCATTATCAGCCCGTGTGTGCCAAAAGCAAACTGGGTGTGTTGAACGCCACTCCAGTTCCTTCCTGTCCTCTCCGGTGCCAGCGCGTGGCTCGGGGCAGCTGACGTCGGGGGTGCGCTGCACTGGTTTCCGCCGCTCAGCTGCTTGGATTTCACTCCTGTTTCTCAGGGGGTGGCATCGCCTTTAGGTGCTGCTGTGGGGACAGCCTCTTCCTTGGCTCGCAGCAGGTACATGTGCTCCCAGCTGTGTCTTGAAGCTGTGAGAATGGCTCTCTGGGTCAGAGTGAACCCATCAGACCCAAGGTTTGACTCGAGCAGTAGCTAATTCCACATGCCTTGCAAAGACTGTATGGAAGTGGCAAACTGACATCCACACTTTGAGGAAGACCTTTTGTACCTCTGCAGGTTTGTAGCTCCCTGTGTGTCACCTGATGGAATTGGCTGCCGTGAATTTGACCGATTCCTTTCTGAGCCTGCGCAGACTTTAGCATTTGCAGCGTCCTGTGGCAGAGAGCTCCACAGATTAACACTGGCCATGGAAAGATGCTTCACATCTCGTTTGTGTGGAACCTGCCTCCAACTTAATTTGATGCCCGTCTGGTGAGGGAAGGGAAGACTGGGAGTGTTCTGTGTTCGCCACCGTACCCGGCAGAGAGACGCTGGGTTTTGCATTAAACTTGGGGGTTTGAAATCCCCAGACAGATAAAATTACTGTTGGGACCTTGCTGCATCAGCTTGCTGAAGATCTAGGGTCTCCCCTCTCAAAAGCCACCAGCTCATGGCATGGTGCCAGGAGCAGCTAGTGTCCTCCAGGGTAGGGAACGCTGATTGCCAGCATCGTCCCAGCAAGGTCATTGGTTTTACTGAGGTAAAGACATCTGGGAGGACATTGTGGCTTCGTGTCCAAGAGGACCTTTGTAAGGAGGCGGTTGACCAGTTGGACCTCAAGAGAAGGTTTGGGATGTGGGGAGACGTGGGACTCCTAACTCTTTCAAGTATCTCTGTTTCTTTTCTTATCCCGGCAGGGCTGGGGATGGCTCAAGTGCTCTGCAATGACTGGAGGGTGCTTTGGTGCCCGGCAAGGAGAGCAAGCCAGTGCGAGAAGGAGCAAGCAAGCCTGGGGCTGAGACGCTATTTTTAATGCATTTACAAGTTTTGGGTTAATGCCAGCTCCCTGCCTGATACTTTACTGGGGCAAGCAGCACAAGGATACACTTGGTTTTCCGATGACACTCAGAAAGGCTGGCAGGGCTTGTCCCCATTTCTCAAGATGGGTAACGAGGAGCAAAACCAACGCAAATGCACCAAGCCTTGCATGGTGGCTGGGCTGGGCCAGGGCTCAGCCGGTCCATCGTGGGGCAGGAGCTGGCCCTGGGGAGGCAGTGGGGCAGCACGAGACAAGACAGGGTGTTTCTTACAGCGGCCGGGCTATGGATTCCCAGGGGTGATGGCAAAGGACAGGCACGACCCTGGGGCATGGAGCACCCAGGGATGTTGCTGCCAGCCTCCCCCCATGCTGCCCGGCATTTGCAGCAAGGAATGAACCATGGGGTGACTGCAGGCACCCGGTCCCTGCAGCACCCTCCTCACCTGGGTGCCCTGTTTGCACCCAGAATTAGGCACCTGTTTGAGCCCAGGCGCAGCTTCTGCTGATGTTTATATAGCAGGAGGGTATCCTCAGAGGAGCAGGTTCCTGCAAGCCCAGGGCTTTGTGTGTCTCTGTTGCAAGGTCCTGCACATCTGGGGTTTCAATTTTTAATGATTCACTAGTGAGATGAAAGAGCAGGGACTCTGCTAGGCATGTTTTATGCTGTGGCAGGTCTGTGGGGACTGCGCAGAGTTGGCCAAGTTCAAATACATGGAAGAGGGGTTCATTTTGACTCTCCTAAAGACACGATCCTACAGCAGACTGTTAGTGTTACAGCTGTCTCCTGGCCTTTCAGAGCATAGTGAAGCATCCGATGAGCAGTTTTTATACCTGCAGGTAAAAGCAGAAGGGTTTTTCTATGTTG